GAACCATAAGAATTCTTTCAGAATATGCTGCAAAAGAGCACTAAAAAGATTCCGTGATATGAGTTCTATACAGAAATGCATTCTTTACTAAATAGTTGTTTCCGATTCATTGTTCCGCAAGGCTTTTTTCACTTCGACCTGGCGTATCATTTTCATAAAGGAAGCAAAATATTGTTCATACTGACCTACGATACAATTATGGACTTATATACTAAAAAAGTTAATACACTTCAGAAATTACTCGTAAAAAAATCGATTTTATCAGGGGGTCTTCTAATGTGTCTTTTGCTTCATTTATCCAAGGGGCGTCTTCTATTATGGGAGGGTCTTCTAATATAAGGGGGTCTTCTAATGTGTCGGTGGCTTTACATTGCTTATATGTGGTTGGGTGAAGCTGAGAGTAGCATCTACACTCGGTATAATCAAAATCCTGAGTTATACATAAAACATAAGAAATTAATGCTTGCTTTTGTTTCATCTTATGTTCAAATCGATTTGATATAGACGGTAAGTTACATTTGAATAATAGTAAACTAATAATTTTCTTTGTTGTCTTTTAGCTTCAAACAGATATGATCCTAAACGTATTTATTACTTTGATAACTGAAAACCAATACTGCTTTTTTAGGTTCACATCGATATGGTCAAAAACGTGAATTATATTTTATTAGTTAAAAACTAATACTTTTCTTCTGGTTTTAGATTCATGTCGACATGGTCGAAATGGTACATTGCATTTTAACAGATTAGAACTAACACTATCTTTTGTCTTTTTTGGGTTCTTTGACATGCGGCAAGGTGCTGAAATCCATCTTGCCGCTCGAGTGTTTTCAGGTCCCATATTTTCTTCCGATTTTCGTGAGTTCAGTAACCTTTTATCTGTTTCTGAGATCAGTATCAAAGAAATTACTATAAATGATTTTTCTGGCTTTCAGAGACTCATAAATCCTTGTTCGAAAATCCTTAAAGTTTTTTAGATAGTAACAAAATTGGAAACTCTTTAAGTTTTTTTCAGGAAACGAGTTGTTTTTCAGAGAGTAGAGAGTACTCATTTTATCTTCTCTACCATCTGTTATACGTGACTCTCATTTAATATTAATTATCTCTGTGCACGTAAAAGAGACCGCTTTCAGACATTATCAAGGATTCTGTACTGTTGCACACAGAGACACTCTGTGCTATTTTCTCATCATACTAACGAAATATGAATCATCATGAACTCAAAACCGAGGCGATCAACTGAAAACACTAACAAAATATGCTATTTGCAAATATGTCCTCAATTTTAAAAAAATCATTAACACAAATACCATTACTCGCTTTTAAAACAACACCGAATAATTGTCATTTACTCCGTGATCATACATGTGCTCTGTTATCACATGGAAGGTCAGCAATTACCAGTTATCTGAAATAAGATCTCTCACTCAGTAAATGATTTTAAGATCCCAGGTCAAGGAGATACAACAGGAAAGGATGCGTCAGTTTATACGAAAACCAGAAGATTCCGAAGGTAAAAGATAGCACATAAAGAGTCGTTATCTCCTTCGGTTCTTTTCATGATCAAAATGCTAACTTTTCAGATTAAAAAGGCTCTCCACAGTTGCAGACGATTTTCTGCTCTCAAACAGTAACAAATGATTTTTCTTCATTTTTTTATGTGAAAAAGAGCATCTTCCGAAGCGACTAAAGAGTCCTCTACACACAATAAATATGTTGGGCTATAGTGATGATCAGAACGTTTACTTGTGGAAAATAAAAGCGTTCGTACTTTCTCATAGATCCCACACTTTCTATAGTTGTACAAACCATCTTTGTTCATCTTTTCATACGGACATGATCAAGGGTTGGAATGAACATATTTGATTATTTTCACAATTAAAATGCTCACTTCCAGATTAGAACATGTTTCCGATGGGTCGTATCGTCGTTCCACTGAACAACCTGTAGTTTCTCGTGGCTTCTCAACAGGATCCTAGTGAATCTCTGCATGTATATGATGTTGCAGTAATGGGAATAAGTCATAGTTTTCAGTATTGTGGCTTTAGTGTCTCGGATACTCCTTCCAAATGTATAACTTTCTTATTGAAAAGGTGCAGCAAAACGAGCAGATGCTGCAAGTAACTGAGCGAACACTGCGAGTAACGCTCTTAGGAGTCTTCAGAAACTGGAGAATTTTGCCGAAATCGAATGCGCGACTTGTACGGCTTCAGTCGGATACGATGAGTTCCGGAATGTTTCCAGTCCGATCCTTGCATTCTTTCGTTGAGTTTTCCGCTATTTTCTTTTTTTCTCGCGGAATTCGAGTGGTTTCCTGTCAACTGCCGGTTTCAGGATAATGTCGAAAAATACGAATTTCCGGTACGATCGCTTTCCGACTCGTGATACTTCTTCCAAGTTCTTCGTATATTCTAGCCGGATCCTGTAGGAAATCGGCTGGAGAAGTCAACGCACATGGCCGGTTCCGGTCAAAATCGGGGGTAAGAATCAACTACCTGTATAATATGACAAGTATTTATCCAATATCAGTTCAGGAAAAGGAAAATGATTTTCTGAGCTCATGACAATGTTTCGTTACTCGATCAGTGCCATACACTTCAATCAACCAGTTCCATATGATGATGCTTATTGATTGAAATAATCAAGTCGAATGAAAATGTCCGATTCGTATAATCAAGGATTCTCTATTTCTTTTTAACTATTATCGTGCCCTAGTCGATCTATCTCGAACAGCATCTCTGATGAATTAGCACTCATATTTTCTTGTTTTCAACAGTGTTACTATTTAAAAGAGACACTGCTTTCAATATGAGTATTGCATTGAATTCGGCCAAGCGAAACTTTCCTAAGTTTTGAGCCTATATGCTAGCAGCAAAGATAACATCATCATTAACTCGAAGTCACATCTGGACAAGCACTATCATTCAAATGTAATCGTCAGGTATTGTTTCTCATTTACGAAGCTACTTCGGAGAGCATTCACTGCTTTTTTCTATTGTCGTTCTGACAAAAAAAAACTATTATCGCATTCAGTTCTGTTAATATTACTGTTTTGGTTGTATACTTGCCAACAAGGGAAGGCTGACTAAGTTCATGTGTGTTTTATTTTCCTGTAAGTTTCATTATTTTCTGAGCGTGAGTCCAGCTTTATTTAATAACACTAATTTCGTAAACGCAGAAGAAGAAAGCAAGGAGAACAAGACAATAACTACAGAATGCACACAGAAAAGAGAAGACCATACAAATGTATATATATATATATGACAAAAGCAATAGGAAAATTCACTAGGATATATGACAAGAAAGGATAAATCCATATATGCATTAGATATGCACTTACGAGAGCAGAGGGAAAAAACTAATGAATAATATGTTATAGTTCAGAGGGAAAACACAGTATGTCCTGTATTCATACATATGTGGCATGCGCTGGACATTTTCCAATCATGTTTAAGAAAGAGATAATAAAGTTTCATCATTTGTTGTTACATAAGTCAATTTCAGAAAGCATTCGTTCGCGATTTTAATTGTGTTTTTGCAGCACTAAAAGTCATAACTACCGTTTGCGTAGTTGCAGGCCGAAGTTTTGATTTCAGTCGGGTCCACACTTCTGATAATGACGTCAAATATATGAAAGTCAAATATAGAGGAATCAAAGTAGTAAAGAAATAGGAATACTCTGCTATCGCTTTTGGTATATCACGTATTCCAACTTGATTCAAGAAAATCACCATACCATATGGTAAAAGAGCTGTCAGACAGACAAACGATATAGAAAGAAGTTGATAAGCCATTTTACTATGCTTTCGCCAAGTAAACGATTGCTGAAGACGTCGTTTCGAATAGAGAACACGACACAAAAGTGAAACACTAAATATACCAATACACATTGCAGGAGCTATGTTATGAACCATCTTGCTCCACGCAGATAAAACTGGATAACCTTGTATACAATCATTGCCACAGACAATACTTTCAAAGTTAAATGGAGTTTTGCATGGATAAAAACACAAAGCATAAGTATAGAAACATATGACGTAGACAATAATGATAAAAGGTGGTGCATAATGCAAACATATCTTTTTCCATTTTGAATGAAGAAGACGATCATGAAAAATGAGAATATGTCGTTCCAATGAAGCCCATGCTGTTAACATCGCGCCTACTCCATAACCGGTATAATTGATAAGTCGCCATGAATAGCAAAAGACGGCATTTTGAAAAGGTACCTTGCCTTGATGATAAAGATACAGCTGTAACGGAAGATCTATTGTTTTGAAAATAAATTCACAAATTAAGAGAATGATAAGGCAATAATTATTTGGTGCTGAACGTAGATTTTTGTGTATCAAGGCGTAAATGATGATGAAAACATAAACAATAAGCGATGATACTCCAAGTACAAGGAAAGTATTGAATTTCAGCGATAAAGTAATTTGTGGAACATAAATATTTTGTTGAGTAGTATTGGCATAGGTTATGTTTTGCTTTGGATCCAGTTGCATTTTGAAGGATCAGCCGTTAAGACTTAAAAAGCAAAAGCAGTCAGTATATTTTATAATATTTTGCAGATGCTTTGTTCAGCTCTACCGATTTTCTTTGCACATCTTCTTGTTGATACAGCAAGATTATATATATGTATATAAAGATGATTGGCATATGAGGAGTTGTCAGAGAAAAAGAAGTGTTGACGTCATTGTTTTGATGATTTGCATATATTCTTAAGTTTATTCATGCACAGAGCAAGCTGTCACTTGGACACATAGATAAAGCTTTATGAACTAACTAAGTGAACTGATGCGATTCTAATAGTGTCTGATGTTGATGGGCAATGATGAAAGTAGACATCACAGTATTCTATGTGACATTGAGGATGCACTGAAAAATTGCTTGCTGAAAGGGTGCAGGTGTGGGGTTTTAGCGTATGCCTGCGGATATATGAATGTGGAATTTGGGTGGATGACTGTACGTAAACTTTTCGTTCATAGCCAACCTCAATCTCACACGCTTTTTTGTTCATATTCGATTCATCCGATATAGAAATAAATCTTATATATAAACAACTGAAAGATTTACCAAATTTTTGTTGGGATTACAGTGGCTTCTACTTTCCAGTAACATTATATTAAACAAATGACAATATAGAATCAGGGATATTTTCACACAAGAATCGATTTGTGAAGAACATTTCCACCAAGGACATTTACCCTGAGAGACATTTTTGTATCAGAACAAAAAGTTGGGAGCATTGCACCCAGTACATTTTTGAAAGAACATTGTAGCATGTAGTTTTAGCGTATCTTTATGATATTGCCAGAAAACCTGAGTAGTATTTTTCGAAGTCAACAACTTATTGGAGGAAACTTATGTTGTCGATATTGTTCATTTAGTACCAGCAGAAGCATTCACAAATTTCTGCACGGTATTCGCTATAGTTTATTAGAAGGTAAGAAAGTTTCTGAATTGATAGTGCCTTAAAATTTAGACCAGGGAATTTTAATCGGATTGTGATGTTTTTTCCTAAACATTTCGATATTCCTGGTGTTTCAAAAATCTTGAAAATGCTTTCTACAAAATTTGTAATATATAAAAACCGTTCAATTATCAACTATTTGGCAATTTAGTTTCCTTTTTTGATGGCCATTTTTTCTTGCGTTAAAAGCTTCTAGAGAACTTGAAACATTCATACGTTTAGTATAAGATATTTTATAACGCGTAACTCGTGCATCCCATTTTTGTATTGTTTGATCTAAAACTATTTGTCATTCTACTAATAGTCTTACATGAACTTTACAATCTCTGCTTAATCTTAGTTATGATTATACACCTCGCAAATAGCAAGCAAATAAATAACAACGTAAATCTGATAATTCGGTTCTTTTCTTACCTCGCTTGATTGAACATCAATAAAATGCCGATTAATTCAGTCATTATGATTTTCAAAACTTGGATGCAATACGAAGGTTAACTTCGACAACAAATGCAATACCCTCAATGTGAAAATATACTTCGATTCTTTTTATACTCAGAGCGTTTTCAGCAAACGCTTCTTAATTCGACATTTAATCAAGCCTGCGTCCGAAGTCGTGTAAGAGTTTTTTAGAGTTCGATAAACTCTTTTGACATTTTCGAATCTTGACTAAACTTGACTCTTGGGTTTTTTGTAAGCATCGTTTCTTTCAATCTTTTTCAGGATTAGAATTTCATGAATCGTTGTAGGTGCCGTATTAATTATTTGCATGATTTTAAAAATGTCTCTTTCGAAACTCTTGAAAAGTAATGAACTATGTTATCAAATATATGAGAAATCGCAAAAAAAGTCGCCACGCATTAGTACTGATCAAATATCTACATATCTGTTAAGAAAACTGGCATTATCAGGACAAAAACGATACTGATTTTTTTGCATGTAGCGTCTATGAAAATCATTCTGACATCTTTTTTTTTTCATAGTGAAACCTTTAGCAACAAGAATATCAGGCAATCGCTGTCACCAATTCTTACTATCGCTTAAAACTCAGAATAACTTATTTGTAAGCCATTAATTTTACACAGAATCCAATAAAGAATAAATAGGATTTAAAATTGGAAACATAAAAGAGAATATTATCAAGTTCAATAAGAGGCCATCGAAGTCACACAAAAGTATCTTCTCTTCTAGGAATGTTTCACTTCATCGTGCGATGCAACCCAATTTCCATGCTCTTCATTAAAGCAATAGACATCTATGAATATCTATATTCTCTGTTCAGTCATAAGAATATTCCTTCGAAGCTCAAGTGAAAACTTGATCTCATTCACACATGCTCTAAGATCAATTCATGGTCCATCTCTATAATAGAATTTTTCTCGGGAAATTTGAGATCGATTCACTGAAATACAGGCGCGATATGAGCATTGAAATAGTCTATTAAAATAGAAGGTCTGATATGTAATTTCATCAGTAAGAATTCAGCCATCAGTAACTGAATTCGGATAATTATTAATATTGTTAGATAAAATTGCATTGCACTATACGTATTTTCGTCCTTCACCTTTTTCATGAAACATTCACGATTGACTGATCATGGGAAGTGAGAAAGTAGAAGCAAATTTGATCATATACAATTTAATCTTTTCAATGAATCTTCTTTCTTTTCTTTGAATAGCTTTTGTTTCTCAAAACTGGGTCATATGTTCTATTTTTCCACAAACAAGCTTATCATGGAAATAAACAATTAATTTCTCTTCACATGAGCACAATAAGTTAAATTTTCGAATAAGTTGAAATTCCGTTGCAGTCGATAAAATTCTGTTTTGAGATCAGCTTTTAATTCCTATCGAATGCATTGATTTTGACATCGTGGTATAATATTTACCAGTAATTTGCATTGATATCCTTGATAGTTTGAATTCTGGATTCCGGTAAGAGTTGTTCGAACATCATGAATCTGCAATTAAGTTGACATATAGATCTTGGAGTATGACAGCAAATAGGAGGAAAATTATAATAATCTTGTTAGCGTAGATCAATTGGACTAAAATGTGGAATTCATATGTGTTGTTTAGTCTTATTATATTAATGAAAAATACATTAAGTGAAAAATTTCTCGCAGATTATAGCTGTTTTTCAAGATAATCGGTCACCAGAGAAATTATCTGTCTTATTTGTTTCTGCCTTTGGAACAGAATTTTTTGCTTAGTGTTGCTGTATGTTTTGTTTGCCTTGTTGTTGTTTGCTCGTTATGTTTTTCGTATTCCGTTTTTCATAATTTAATATTATTACTACCCTAATTATTGATTCATGATCACTGTTGAAGTGGTTGCATCGTGTTTGACATTTTAATCTCGAATGAATTACTCTGAATGCTCTTCTTTTTGAATTCAGATTAATTTGCATAATCGATTAAAAGTTCTGCAATGTGCAATATTCGAATTGTAAAACATTTGGATACATGACTTATTGATGAATTTTTATTGGATTTTTTGCATACAATCCTGATGTTTTTGAAATAACATCGTATTGTGTTAGTCATAATAGAAAAAAAGAATCGTGACCATTGTTCAATAAATCTTCACTTAGTAAAATCATGTGCAAAAACTTGATTAATTCATTCCGTGAAAAGGACAAATTCTGTGCTACTCAATTCAGTGAACAGTATGAGTTCACCTCAATGCATTTATTCGTCATTTGGATCTTAATGCTTCACATGTTTTTTCTTTTAATACCTTCATGAATATTTATTTGTTAATTTTTCTCTGAAGAAAAATATTACTATTTGATACGTTAGTCAATATGCGAGGTTCGTATCAATTGTAATTTGCATATTTAGAAGAGGAAAAGGCAGAAAAGAGACAGCAAATGAAGAGAATACGGTTTACTAATTGCAGTTGTGATTATGTTCAAATATGGATCAGGATGATTGTATTCAAGGATAAAATGAAAAGATCAAAATCAATATTGACATATGAACTATCAACAGTAACGTTTTAAAGTTTTTTTGCGCACGGATCAATTACTTTTTATCAATGTAGAAATTATTTAAAACGTGTTGTTTTCAATTCACTTTTGCAAAGTCTGATTTGCTTTAATTTACGAGCAAAGAATTGTTCTCAATAAATCAGCCATATTAAACAAATTTAGATGAATACAATTTATGCAAAATGCGTTCTATTTTCATATATTTTATTGCTTTCTTTGCACAACTCAGTAGCTGCAATGATTTTATCTGAGGTATGGTAATAGAATTCGATGAAACATCAAATGGTGTGGCAAATAAGTCATACATATTGTTTGAATCGTTTATGATTTCTTTCAGCATGAAATTCGCATTGAACCTTTATCTCTTTCACATCAAGCTGTAAAAAACTGCAGTTATAAAGCGTAACGATTTGAGTCTCCACGAATGTATGACAACTCCTCGAAATTAATTACAAACTTAAGTTGTATTTACATTAAGGCACTACGATATATTATACTTACAAAATACTTCCTAAAAAATATTCTAATTTGTATTTCTTTTGCATCACTCATATGACCGGATAGAATCAGGTTTATAATGCAAGCTTCAGTTATATTATAAATCAGTTGACTACATTGGCAAGTACACATATTCTTCGTCCAATTACTATGTTATTAATGCTACTGATCATACTTCTGCTTGCCGAATTTTTGACTACTACTTGTACAAATCGAAACTCGACTGAAATAATTGATATCGACAAAAGTCTAGGTGCTCGTAATCTAGTCTTGTGTTGCAATCCACCAAAGATTTTTTTTAAATATCAGCCTGATAGTGGATTTACAATAAATGTACCATCCCGAGTATTTACCAAAATACCTGGTCTATCCTTGGCAGTCACCCATAGTCAACCTCAATAGCTGTTCAGTATTGACATGCTGCTCAGGATTCATTATTTTATATGATGTAGCTTTTAAGACCTATGATATGTTCAAATTTCAACACGTACTATGATGCATATGTTAATTTACACATTATTCAAAATTCATTGTTTGAAGCTATTC